TGCAGTTCCAACCTACCTTCCCTCTAGAACAGTGATGGCGAACCTTTTAGAGACCGAGTGCCCAAACTGCAACCCAAAACCCACTTATGTATCGTTGGGTGCTGGGTGGGTGTGGCCCATTGGGTGGGTGTGGCCCATTGGGTGGGCATGGCTGTGATGGTAACGGCAGACTGGGCGGGACTAAAAAGTTCAATCAATCAATTCCAACTTTGCAAGAACTTTTTTTCCTGTGAGAAGTTGAAATTGATTGATTGAATCTTTTTTTTTTTTTTTTGCACACAGCGGCAGAGGCCTAAAGCAAAAAGGTTTTATAAAACCCAGCTGAAGGCCTAGGACTGGGGTGACGGCTCGCGTGCCCACAGAGAGGACTCTGAGTGCCGCCTCTGGCACGCGTGCCATAGGTTCGCCACCACGGCTCTAGAAGCTCAAGACAATACATATGGGGAGGACCGAATATTAAATGATAAAGGGAACAATAGATGCCGTCATGTATTATATCATATTTTGCTTTTCCTATCATCCAGATATTCCTTAAACCCCCCCCCCCATTCTTTCTTTCTGTGTAAAGAATACGGATATCATCATATTATCATCCTACAGTACAGGGAGTCCTCAATTTATGCCAAGTGAGCCCAAAATTTCTATAGCTAAGTAAGATAGTTGTTAAGTGAGTTTTTGCCCCGTTTTCTTGCCATAGTGGTCAAGTGAATCATTGCAGTTGTTAAGTGAGTAACATGGTTGTTAAGTGAATTTGGATTCCCCATTGACTCTGCTTGCCAGAAGGTCACAAAAGGTGAACACGTGACCCCGGGACACTGGAACCGTCATAAATACATGCCAGTTGCCAAGAGTCTAAATTTTGATCACTTGGCCGTGTGGAAAAAAACAAGTCATAAATCCCTTTTCTCAGTATCGTGGCTACTTAAAATGGCCACTAAATGCTTGTAAGTTGCGGACTACCCGTTCTTTTCTTTCCTGATTAACCAACTCATTAAAGCAACCACATCTCTATTCAAACTGGAGAGGAAGCTGTCTGAAAGCAGCCACGGGATAGTTTATCCCTTCCTGATAGATATGGAGCAGTAGGAAACCTTAAGTCTATAATTTAGTCTGGCTTCCCCCAGTTGGGTTGCTTTAAAGGGGCATGGCCTTTAGGCCTTAGATCAGAGGTAGGCAACCTTGGCTCTTTTATGACTCGTGGACTTCAATTCCCAGAATTCCTGAGCCAGCTATGCTGAGGGGAAAGGGAAAGGTTTCCAAGCTGAGCCATGCTGGCTCAGGAATTCTGGGAGTTGAAGTCCAAGAGTCATAAAAGAGCCACGGTTGCCTACCCCTGCTTTAGATTTTTCAGCAATGGCCATGCTTCCTGTGGAAGTCTGGAAGTCCATATGATTGGAGGTCAACCAGGTTGGGGCAAGGAGCTTAGTAAAAGGAACACAGGTATCCAGGAGCACATAGTTTTCCATCTCTGCCTGTCTAAGTTAAACACAGTCCATTTTCTGTGCTACTGAAATATAATCATGTGGCTGATGTTAGAAAAGATTATTTCAGAGTTTCTTTTTTCTCTTTCCTTTTCTTTAACAGGAAATTGGAAGCAGACGCAAATAAGCTGATGTTCCGCAGGGGGGATGGACCATGGCATGAATTTGAAGTCCCAGGCACGTCTATGATTGATTATTCTCCTAAAGCAAGACCTGATTTCTGAGCATTTCAGCTGGAATCTCCGGCTGGCATCCCTGCAGGGCAGTTAAAATGTGTAATGTATACCTAACTTAAATCAAAATGTGCGCTGCCCAGAATAGTCACCAAGTTGGGCGGCCTTACATGTGTAATTAAATAAATAAATGTTCTGATTCAGTAACCCCCTTGTACTAGCTTGTATTAGCTGTAATCCTTTCCCACACCCTCATTTGCTGTATCTTTTTTATGTGTGTACTCCAGAATAAACCCCAATCGGTTCTGTCTAGTTCCCTACAGGCTTCTGATTTTATTTATATTCTGCCTTTCATTCCAGAGCACAAAGAGGCGTAGCTAGTCAGATGGGTTGGGCCAAGAAAATAACTGGCCCAGATCAACCAGCTGAATGACTTTGGGACTTCAAAAAAGTTATTTACAGTCCAACCTCAAAGATGTGACTGCGGCTCCTCTGGATAATGTGATTGGCCAGGAGGGCCATTGCGCAGTTGCGGGTTGTGTGACAGTTACGCCCTTTTCTGGACCAACATTCCCTGCTCACAGTCACTCACGCCCTAGTTACCTCTTGGCTATCGCAATATGCTGTACATGGGGCTGCCCTTGAAAAGCATCTGGAAGCTCCAATTGGTTCAAAATGCAGCAGCCCACATGGTTTTGTACAGACTCAGGTGTGTCCCTTTGTCACCTTTCCCGCCAGAGCTGCATTGGCTGCCTATTTGCTTCCACGTGCAAATCAAGGGGCTGGTTGTCACCTTTAAAGCCCTCCATGGCTTATGACCGGGTTATCTGAGGCACCATCTCTTCCGGGCTACATCTACCTGATCCACTTGAGTAGAGAGGCAAGGAAGCTACGTGGTGGGACCCCAAAGAAAGGCTTTATCCATGGTTCTTCCTTCCCTGTGGAATATCCCTGCAGAGATTAGACTGGACCCCAATTTGTAAGGCCTTGAAAACCTGGTTTTGCCAACAGGCCTTAGGAACCCAAAGTGTTATTTGCTTAACAACCACAACAGCTTATAGATAGTCCTTGGTTTACAACCATTTGTTTAGTGACCATTTGAAATTACAAAGGCACTGAAAAAAGTGACTTGTGAATGTGTTTCACACTTAAGACCGTTTCAGCATCCCCATAGTCACATGATCAAAATTCAGATGCTTGGCAATTGACTCATATTTATGATGGTTACAGTGTCCCGGGGTCGTGGGATCCACTTTTGCAACTTTCTGACAAGCAAAATCAATGGGGAAGCCACATTCACTTAACAACTGTGTTATTAACTTTACAACTGCAGTAATTCAATTTAACAACAATTTAGGAAAGGTCGTAAAATGGGGCAAAAATCACTTAACAACTGTCTTGCTTAGAAATAGAAATTTTGGGCTCAATTCTGGTTATAAGCTGAGGACCACCTGTATTGATTTTGGTAGCAAAAAAATGAAGAACGTTGCTGTAGGATTCTATTTCATATCATTTTCATAAGTCCTAGTAAAGACAGTGTCCAACTATTTGGATATACACAAGCTATGAATCCTTTTTTTCGTACCATACTCTGCTCAGATCAGACCACTGTGTCTTCAGAATCCAGTTAGCATAGATTTTGCTAGCTGGGAAATTTCAACAGCCTCAAATGGAAAGGACTAATTTGAAAAGATTCCCCCACATACTAAGTGCTTTTGAGATGTGAGCTCAGAAGCAACCTTCTTAAAAGGAAAACTGTACACACAGTTTTAATGTACTGTATTGCAAGCAGTAATGTACAGTACTCATTATCCCCAAAGGCTACATCATACAACCTGGATCATTTAAAAGCTTTTAAGATAAATAATCTACCTCAAATGTATGTCTGAGTTTTCAATTAGAAGCCAAAATTATTGCTCCAGCTGTATGTATTATTTCTGATAGCTTGTAATACATCCACACAGCAAAAGCTACTCACCTTTCTAATAAAAAGTGTATTGCACAAGAATAAAATCCTTGATTACTTCTTGGGGACTAAGATGTCCTGGAATAGCATGCACAATAAAAGCCTTCACACAACATACTTAACCAGGTTAGTAAAATCAGAATGCCAAATTCATTCCCAAATTGTTACATCTTACCTGACATTCTGAGAAGGGATTAGTGTCTAGCATGTAACGCCAACCCAACTGATTTATTTATTTATATCTCGCCTTTATTATTTTTATAAATAGCCCAAGATGGCAAATATACCTAATATTCCATCTTCTTCCTATTTTCCCCTCAACAAACCTGTGAGGTGGGTTGGACTAAGAGAAAGTGACTAGCCCAAAATCACCTAGTTGGCTTTCATGGGATTTGAATTCATGGTCTCCCAGTTAGTTTCTAGCCTAGTGCCTTAACCAATAGGCTCTCTTTTAGGGTTTTAGGGCTCAGTATACCAACCCAGAAAAGAGTTTTACAAGATTCAGCGTATCTTGAATGCCCATATTGGAGAAGGTTGGGTAAAACATCCCTTAGTTTGTCCACCCCAGACATCGAACCAAGATGTACAAATAGTCCTCAACTTATGACCACAATTGAGCCCAGAGGGGCTTGTTGCTAAGTGAGACATTTGCCCCATTTTATTACTTTTCTTGCCACGTTTTTTAAAGTGAATCAATGCAGTTGTTAAATTAGTAACACAAGTGAATCTGGCTTCCTCATACTGACCTGGCTTGTCAGGAGGCTGCAAAAGACGGTCACATGACCCCAGGACACCGCAGTGTCATCAATATGAACCAGTTGTCCAGCATTCAAATGTAAATCACGTGACCGCGGGGAATGCTACAACGGCCGTTAGTGTGAAAAATGGTCATAAGTCACTTTTTTTTCCAGTGCCTTTGTATCTTCAAACGGTCACTAAACCAACTGTTGTAAGTCGAGCGCACCTGTCCTTGGCTTGGATATGGCATGAATCCTGGCAAGCGGTAGGTAACTCCCGTCTTCCTCCACTCCAGGCTGGGTTAGCCTTTTGTGTGAACGGTGTGATCACTCTCATCATTGCATGCAACCCACTTGTCTTCACCCCTCTTTTGAAGGACCCGCCCTGGAATTTCCCTTTTCCCCAAATACCCCCACCTGCCCCCACTTGTAAACTCTCCTCTTCAGCTTTTCGGGCCGGGAGGAGGAGGAGGAGGAGAGAGAGAGAGAGAGAGAGGCTCCTGAGCACGTGCAGAGTACTGTTCCTCTGGGAGGGCGGCGGCCCAACCGCCCAGCGCACCCACCCTCCCTCAGCGGGTGCGGTCTCCAGCCCTGGGCGCACACCGGCCGGGCTCTCCGGGGCGGGAGGGGGCCGCTTTCGGAGAAGCAGCTGCGCCGCCGCGGCTCTGCCTTCCATTGGATTAAAAATAGCGTCTCTCCGCCCCTCCGGACGGGCCGGCCTCGGCTGCGCGCTTCTACCCCTGTCCGCGTCTCTCTGCCCGGGCTCGGCCGACCGCTCGCGCCCCTAGCCAGCCAGCGCAGCTCTCGGGTCCGGCCGGCGGCGGGGAAGATGGAGCGGGCCGCGTTGTTCGCACAAGGGCGGGAAGCGCCGATGGCTGCCGGGGACGTGGGCGAGCTCTTGGTCCCCTACATGCCCACCATCCGGGTGCCCAAGACCGGCGATCGCGTCTACAAGACCGAGTGTGCCTTCTCCTACGACTCGCCCGTAAGTAGCGGTGGCTTCTGCTGCTGCTGCTGCCCGGGCTTGCTGGCCAGCCGGCTCATCTCTTTCCCCGCAAGCCGGGATCCTGGCTCTGCGCGCTCCCACGTTCTCCCGCGACCCTCCATTCCCTCGCGCCCCTTTCACCCGCCGCCTGCCCGGCCTGGTTTCCCGCGGGGTCGCGCTCACCCCATTGCGCGGCGGGACTTTGGCCCCTTTCCTCCCCCACCTGTTCTTTCCCTCTTGGATTACATCTCCCCTCGTCCCCTGCGGATTTTGATGATCGCTGGGTTGATTCGTCTGAATGGGAAAAACTGGGCGTGCCTGTAGTTATCTCGCACCCTACTTTTCCGTGACTCCCCTAGAAATGAAGTTGCCTCTAGTAGACGACCTATGCTTCTAGCTACTTTGTCTCTATGCCCAGCTAGGTGGCAGTGCCCAGCCAATGTCAGCTAAAGGGAGTTGGATTTGGTTATGGAGGGCTTGGATAGGAGACCACAAGGAAATGTCCAGGTGGTAAGCTAGATTGGGAAGTTTAAAAAAAAAAAAGCATGAAAGAAAGTAATGGCAAACCAGTTCCATTCCAAACGGATGACTTGACTTGATGGAGATATTTTGCTGGTGACCCCAAAAGTTGGACTTTTGAGCTGGTTACAGGCCTCTAAATAGATTCCTTCCTCCATATGCAACTGGTTCCATTTTATTGGCAATATAGCCTAGTTCTGCTGATCAAGCCATCAGCTGCCCCACTTGTCTTTCCTTATTGGTAAGGAACCTCTGCCAGGCTAAACTCAAATGTGGAGTTCTTGGGTTGACAGCTAGACCTGAAAAAGTCACATTTTTTTTCTTAGCTTGTGTGCTCCTCACAATGCAGTGTATTGAGACAGATCTGCTAAAAGTATTTGTTGAAGTAGTTGCTTTCACTCTGTACCTTAACTTTAGTATTGATCTTGAGGAGTTTCTTTTTGTGAATCAGCACCTTGCTAACCAACTAATTTGATTCCGCATATGGTACAAACCTAGGGAATGAGTTAACAAAGTAACAAACTTAAATGAGCTATATGAATACACCCGGTCAGTTTCTCAACTTCTTAAGTTACCATCCTATCAGCCCTTCTACTTCTTCTCTGGCTAATAATGATTGTCTCAGCTTTCTTGATAGCTTTTCAAGCTGGTAAGCTAATTCCTTCTGATCTCTATTTGATTTAGCTGCACCCCCTTAACCTGGTAATTTTCTGATAGTGTTGTGATAGACTGGATGTTGCCCTTTACTTATAAGAGGTAGTTCTCAACTTGCAACCAGTCACTTAATGACTATTCAGAGTTATGACAGACTTCCCCAGAGCTACTTATGACCCATTTTCAAAGTTAAGATGGCCACATGCACCCTCCCAGGTGGTCACGTGACTCCATCTTGGGTGCTTAGCAAGCATCTCATCTTTATAGCTGTTTGCATTGTCCTGTGGTCATGTGACCATGATTTATGATGGGGTGGTTTTTTTTTGTTGTTTCTGGTGTTTACTTCTAGTTGCTGCAAAAGTGCCCATTGGGGAAAATGGATTCGCTTAACAACTCTAGTGTTTACTGAGTGGCCACTGCAAAAGATGTAAAAAAAAAAAAGTCTAGTCGTGTGGTGCCTTAATTTACGAACACAATATCTTATGACCAGAATTCCATCCTCAATTACAGTCGTAAGTTGAGGACTATTTGTAGTTCCACAGGTGAAATATAGTGAGTTGCTATTTGATCCAATATTTTGCAAGGATAGGGGTGGGTGGGAATGACTGGTTGAGTTACAGATGTGCTTCTGCCTGCATTTCCTACAGTCTGGAGTGTGAATTTGAAGTCAACAGGGTTGCAAACATATCTTATATGAGCTTGGTTCCAGATTGACCATCTGTTCTTTCTCAACTAAATCCATTTTATTGTCCTGCTTTTGAGGTCTGTGCTATAGATTTGTTCTTTCATCTTGTGAACCTACCCCTTCATTTTATCTATAGGGAAATTTGTTTTGATTTTCCTAAAGCTGAACAAAACACCAAGTTTAATTATAAATGGAGTTTTGATATTTAGTAGTTTTGAGTACTGTATTGAGAATCAATTTTGGGGCAAGAACAAAGAAAAAAACCTTTATTGCAATTCCTTATTTCCATTCCAGGGCAGAAATAAAGCGGTATTTAATTTTTTAGTAGATATTTGTGACTTTTAACTGCTTCTCTTTGAAGCTGAAAAGTAAGCTCTACTTTGCTGTATTAATTTAACCAGGTTCTCTTGAGTAACATAGTTTTCTGAGTTTATGCAGTATTAAATGTGTTTGACTAGCTTAATCTCAGCCTTGCCAACTTTAAGATATGTGAACTTCAACTCCTAGAATTCCTAGCATACATCTTAAAGTTGACAAGATTGAGAAACATTGCACTAGTTTGTTGTTTGCTCTGTTGTGTGAATATATCCTGTCATAAATCAGGTTTTTCTGTAATGTTAAAGTTAACAGCTTGGGACAGATCTGGTGACTTGGATGCAGGATTCCTATCTCTCTCCCCCTTTCTCTAAAGTTTTACAGGTCATCAAGTTTTCAGGCAAGATTGGTGATCTTTGAAGGTTTGTGTGAACTCTTAGTTTAGAATAAACTACAGTTTCCTCTTAGTCCTTAAACCAGTCCCCCACCTTCAGTTCATTGCCTCCATTTATTTGGCTCGTGCTCAATTTATTTTTTTTTTAGTCTGCCTTTATTACTTTTATAAGTAACTCAAGGTGGCAAACGTAACTAATACTCCCTTCTCCTATTTTCCCTATGGCAACATCCCTATGAGGTGGGTCAGGCTGAGAGAATGACTGGCCCAAAGTCATCCAGTCAGCTTTCATGTCTAAGACGGCACTAGAACTCACAGTCTCCTGGTTTCAAAATTGGCCCTTTAACTATTACACCAAATTGGCTCAGTCTGAAGGAGTTCCCAACCTTTTCTCTTTGCCCAAACTAATATTTTTGTGATGTTCTTACACTGCTACTCAGAGGGAAATGGCAAATAGTTCCACCTGCAGGCTGTTCGTGTGATAATTAAACTTGCAACTACTTGCTAGCTAGGAGGAGGAAAAGCATGGCAATTAGACTTGCAGCCACTTACATTTAGGAGCTACTGAACATAACCGGAGCGATATATTTTATATTTTATTTTAGGAGAGGTTGATGCACAAAAGTATGATGCTCTTCTTGATGACTCTTCTGGGTTTAGCACATTGAGGTCACAAGTAGCCAGAGATTTTTGAAAGAAAGGCACACATTCTCCTTTTGATATTACCTTGGACCGTTTTTTACTTTTTCAGCTGTGACCCAGCGCTGCAAAGTAGATACAACCCCCTTCCTTTTTTCACGTCATCTGTTCCAAGTATGATCTTCTCATTTCAGCAACGGTCAGCTTCAGCTGAATAGAAGTGTGGGGCTTGGCTGTCTCCCTCATTATTTGGGAGTAATTGGGCTGACCTTTTGGCCCGGCCGTCTGTGACTCAGCAGAGCATTCTTTGTAGTGTTTAGTTTTATGTTGAACGGAGTGATTTACAAGCCCAATCTAATTCTAATTCATAAACCTACAGATGTGTGCATAAGACCATCTGTCCTTGCTACCAGGTTTACTTGTGTGTGCTTCCTCGGCTGATTGCATACATGCATACATTCGTACATAAATTGTAGTATCGTTCCTGTTTAACAGTTGCTGAATTGGTTACCAATAGGGTTTTGAGTCCAAATATTGGTTTTGATCTAGAAAGGCCTGTATGGCTTCATCTAGGACAGTGATGGCGAACCTTTTAGAGACTGAGTGCCCAAAAAACAGCCCCGGCCTCCCGTCTGCCCCCGCTTCGCCCCCACCTCACCCACCCTGCCAATGGCTGCCCTGCCCACTCCTAGCCCGCCCCCAACCCTGCCGCCCGTCCACAGGGCCACTCACTGCTTCCATGGGCCATCGCAGATCGCCCAGGTGGCCCAGCAGCACCGTGGGGGCCACACCCTCTGCCCGCACCCCGAAGCATCAACTGCTCACAAAGGGGTGTGAGGGCGGAGTCTTCTCCCCGCTGCCCGGCTGCTATGTCCTTGGCTGCGCTGCTCTGCGCAGGCCGTACTTGGGAGCGACTCTTCTCTGGGGGCCTGCTAGTGAGGAGGTAGCTGTGAGCACAGGCAGTGCTGGGGCAACGGCGCAGGTGTCCACAGAGAGGGCTCTGAGCGCCACCTCTGGCACGCGTGCCATAGGTTCGCCACCACTGTCCTAGGGCAACTTATTTATCAAATTTATTTGCCACCCATCTTACCACAGGTAAGATAAAACTATATAAATAGAACACTACAAAATATAAAAATGCAACAGCTAAAAATGGGGAGGGAGGGAATATGATGAGCAGGGAGGGGTGTGTGATCGGATATTAATCTATCAACCTCCCCCAACATGAAACCCCTTCTTGGGCACCCATTTAAGGGTCCTACCCCTGGGAGGAATCCAAGGGACATGAACCTAGATGCCGTCTTCTGCTGGGTTGGTCCAGATGCTTTGGCATCGCTGGTCTCCATAGATTCACCTTGGCACCTGCCCTGCTGGCATTTTGGAAGTCAGTCAAGATGGCTTCATTTGAACAGGCTTTGGGGAAATGATTGGATTAAATCCAGTTTTTAGTTTTCAGCCCAGGCAAGGAGTGAGACTTGTGATAGAATAATAGAATAATAACTTTATTGTCACTTTGAATGTACACTAATCGGCATACTTTAAAATGAAATTTCCTTGCATTCAGCTCTCAAGGGATCACCCCCTCCAATATACACTACATAAATATGACAAAAGTAAATAAATACAGAATTATGCATATACCTCATATATTATATGACACAAGAAACAACAGTCTAGTTCAGGTTATGTATACATGTGCATGGCGTGAAAAACGAATCTTGCGACTTTACCAGATGGATGGCATAAGGAACAAAGCTATTACAGAAACGCTAGAAATGTGTATATCCCATGACT